ACTGAAAGCAACATTGTGAATGAATGGGCGAATAAAAATGTGGTTATATAAAATGGACAGTCAGACATGACAAGAGCAAACGAGCACCGCTCATTGACGGGCAAAACACTGCCACTCAGTCAGTGATTGAAACAAGTAGTGATTGCCTGCATGTTCTGTTTTGAACAGATTAACTGAATGAGTGTTGCTCATTTCCAGTGATGTCTCCATCTGTTAATTGAATCACCCTTGTGTTCAGCCTGTGTCTAACTAGTCAGTGCCTGCCCCATAGACAAAAAGGGGTGATCAGTGTCTGGGTGAGAAGGCTTCTGTTTTTACATGGCAGATTTCTCGCCTTTATGGTGCATTATCATTAGAATACCTCCGTAGCCGGAGAAAGTGCACAGACAGCAAACACAGATACTCAGACTGATGTTGATTAGAGGGAATAGAGTGTACATAGGAAAAAGCGTTTAATCGAGAATAGCAATTGGATACAAACAAACGAAAAGGAAAAGAGAAAAGTACACTTTGACCTTCTGCAAGAGGAGGTCACCAAGCACAAGGAAAGTGATGATGATGATGATGACGATGTTGGTGATGGTCCTGCTCCTGCTGCTGCTGCTGCACCAGCAGAATGTTTGCACCAAAAGTTGTCGTTGTGTGTGCAAATGTGTGTTGCAAGGTTACTGTGAAGAGTCAGTTAAAGCATCTAATATGATTTATGGCAGCAGTCAGATTGGTGGCACTCTCTGTCTGTCTCTGTCTCTGTCTGTGTGTGTGTTTGTTGTGACGAGTCATGTGCTGTTGCCTGAAATGGCTGATGGCAAATTCGACTATCCGAGCACTGTTCATTCGACGACTGAAGAGGAGAAACACTGCGAGCGCAGTTTGCAAAACCCGTGAAGGTCGTCTGAGGTGGTAATGGTAGTGCTAGCGGTGATGATGTCCGCTCATTCAACGATCAAAACTTTACTGAAGCTCTGAGCTTGTGCAATTGTGCTTTAAAATGCTCTCAAACACTAGCCCCTCTAGTTGAGAATCAATTTGGAGCCATTTAAATCAATTTAAGCGTCAACAGTAGAGAGAAAAAACGTTTGAGAAAGCTGCAGCAACTGAAAAGAAGAGATGAAGACTGTGTTTGCAAGAGCAGTAATTGATATTTGATAGTGGACACATTTTCACTGCAGGGCAAATTGCTGCTGCTGCTTAAGGATTGGCCCAATTATGGTCACCACGAAAAAGAAAGCCAAAAAGCAAAAGCAGAAAAGGCCAAATTCCACCCGAAAGTCGATGGGCCGCAAATGCTGGCTGCAAATTAATTAAAGCAAACTGTGAGGACGATGGCTCGAAGAACAACGTCAGCTAAGCAGCAAAAATTGACCATTGCCTGTATGCCGGTCGATGAGGAGATGGTGATGAAAAGCAGCAACAAGCAGTGGAAGAGATGTGCACTGTGAGTGCTGTAATTGCTGCTAATAATAGGCCTGCAAAGAAGAAGCACACACCACAGCCAACTCTCGGGCCAATTAGAATTCCACAAAGTACAGACTAGAGTTGAAAAAGATCGTCCTTTCTCTCCCTTGCTCTCCCCGGTCATATCTGCTATCATCATTTAAGCCTAATTACCTGCACACTGTTCAGCACTCTTGTTAACTAAATTAAACACTGGTGAAGTTCATCAGCAGAAAAGTTTTCGATATCTTTTCAAACTTTTCTCCACAGTCCTAGACAATTGGCCAGTGTTTGGCTAATTATCAATTACGTTCAACTAAGCTCATAACATCAGCAAACTACAATTTAATTTAAATCAATCGCACTGGCGGCAAAAAGAAGAATATGTATGCAAATGAAAGTAAAATAAAAAAAACCTGAGTGAATTTCTTTAATCTGCATACTGTTTTTGAAAGTCAGCTTTGTTGTGTTTCCTAAAAAAAATAAAAAACCGGCATAAACTGACGTTGCTTGGCTAGATGTGTTCAGACATTGACTCCTTCAGCAAATACATGTGACGGCAAATGAGTAATATAAAGTCGAAGAGGACAGAGCAGCAAATGAATATGATATGCTCAATATGTTGTTGTTCTTCTCTGTTTTTCGACTTTTTTCTTCACTCGTTAATGGCAGTGAAAAGCAAAGTGGCAAGTGAGTGAGTGAATGAGCCGTCCACTTTGTCGACTTGCTAATTTGTCTGGCTCTTGTTCTCTTTCTCACTGCACAAAGTGCGATTTAATGTGAATTAATTTGCATTGGCAATTGCTCCGATTAATTCGAAGCACGACCGGTCAATGGTAAATATTTGCTTAGTGCGCTGAAGCGGCAGTCACGGGAGAAGGCAATTGGAAGCTGGCCAATGAAGAGAGTGGTGATGATGGTGGCAGTGATGGTGGTGGCTGAGCACTAACTAACTGCAAAGTGGAAAGGTGGTTGGCTGCTTGGAAAAGTGATTCAGTCATAGCAGTGGTAGAGAGAACAGTGAGAGACGTCCACTTCAGCAGCAGCAGCACACACCTTGGTCGCCTTCGGTGTCATTAAGGAAAGGTGCAAATTAGACATGCAAATGCAGGGCGACGAGGCAACATTCACCGATGACCCATCTCACACTGCCCACTGACCAGACACTGACCAGAGACTCTGTCAGACACTGGCAGAGAGCATCAGTGAGTGTGAATGTGTGCTTCTTTGTACCTGTCTGGTGAGTGGCCACTGCTCTGTGGTTACCTCACAGTACCTGTTTCAGGAGCACACCATAGCTCGACCCTTCATCTACGCTGAGCAAAGCAGTGATCAGCTAGTGCCAGCACTACCACCATCACCACTAATGACCACCTCAGCGACTAATCTTGATTTTATGCAAATCACGGTCACCAATTTCACATGGTGTGTTTGTTTTAGCCAGAGAGGCAAAAGCACACAGCCTCACTGGTGATGATGACTACCAAGAATGAGAAAACGAATGACAGTTCTACAAACAAACAAAAGACGCTAATCAATTTACTGTAGGTGCACTGTGTAGTTTCAAGTGAAAAGTGAAAAGTTGCACACTGGCTACAAATTAAAATGATTGTGCAGTTGTCTTCAGCAATGTTAATATTTGCTGCCAACAGAGGAAAAGACAAAGAGTCAAATTTTTCTAATCGATCTATGCTAATAAAATGTGCCAGTGGCAAGAGAATACACCATTCTCTAAGTGTTCACTGTGCACACGTAATTATAGCGCTCTTGTGCACGTCTCGTTTGTCAATGTTAATTGGCAGGAGGATTTATTGCCATTTGCGCTAAGAGTTGTCCCCGTTGCTGCTGCTGCTACCTCAACTCCGTGCAAACCGATTGAGCAAATGAAAACGAAAATGACTGTCAGTGCTTTTAGACATTGAAAAGTTCGTGTTCAGCAGCCGTTTAGGAAGAAGTCTGGAGGTAGCCCTCCATTGAATGAGCAGAATGCACAGTTCTAGCGGTAATGTCACTGCCTGGTTGGACACACACACACACACTCACACTCACCCTGAGACACATACTTGAGCATTTAAGCACACTTTAATTGCAGCCCATTTTTCACTTTATATGGCTTCCACTCAGCAAGTGCATCATCATACATCTACCTGAACACACACACTGTGAAGTACTTTAACTTTAACTTCAACTACCACAACAGCAGTCTCCTATTACGTGGCTTTCAGTCTAATTGCAAGTGATGACAAATTGTGAGACCTGACCTGACTGCAGACACTCTTACACACACAAAGCTTAGGTTTTACAAGAGCAACAGCAGATGCTCATCTCTACTTTTTTGCTGTTGGTTGTGGTGTTGTGTGTCGATGTGTCTGAAAAAAAGCTGCTGTTGTTGCTTCAAGCAGTAGATAAAGTCCAATTTTCCAAGTCAAAGCCACGGTTGCAAGTGTTTACACAGACATACAGACACATCTATCATATTCTAGCAGACACCTCTCTCTCACTCTCGAGTAGCCCTCGTGCCAAGAAGAAATAGAGAGAGAGAGAGAGAGAGAGACCAAAACTACAGCTACTCTTTTCCAAGTTCTCTTCTACTTGATTTAATTACAGATCAACTGCAGATTGCTGTCCACACCGACTGCACCGACATACACACATTTGTTGAGAACAAGTGCCGCAAAAAAAAGAGATATAGAAGCAATGGCAATCGACAATCGAGAATGGAGAATGAAGAAATCACACACACAGAAACTCATCCATCTTCTCAAATGGAGACGTTCCAGTGAAGTGAGCTGTCTCATTAGAAGAAGATTTCAAAGCATTCGAGACTGTGCAGCAGCAGCAGCAGCAGCTCATCAGTGCAGACAGACTCACTTTCGGTCAATTGACATTTGCGGCGACAGGGACTGAAAAAGAAACAAAGTGATTATTGAATTCACTTGTAGAATGAACTAGTGGAAGGTAAATAAAGTCATCCATCGGCCGATCAGCAAACACTGCCGCCGCCGCCTCAATTTGCCTGGCTGCCTGCCCGAACAACTCCTCTGGGCCAATCGATTGCCTCGATAGACGATAGATGATCAGTCGTATGGTTGTGATTGTATTTTAATAGCCTCATTACACACCAGTCAGAGAGAAGCGAGTCTAATCTCGAGCTAGCTGCAGGTAGCAATCAGCCGAGAAGAAGTACTCCTGGACACTGCCTCACCGACTGACTGGCTGCCAGTGGTGGACTGCCAGCGCACACATTAGCAGCTCATCAAATTGCGCTCACTCGGCCAATTTGGGCAATGTCAACAAAACTCAGCTCTGCCAAATACATACATTCAGGCATGCATACATGCATATTACTTCCTATGCAACAACAACAACAACTATTGCTGCAAATAGCACTTTGCAGCACACCAGCACCACTCACACAAGTGTCAAGTGGCGGCGGCGGCAGAAAAGTGCAAAAAATGAAGGGAAAAAGAGAGAAGACAAACTGATGTTAAGCAAATGCCAAATGGTAATCATCCAAATGCTAACTGTAAAAAGTGTAAAACAGTGATTTTCATCAGACAACGAACCTGAACGCGAGACTCGACGAGATCGAGGCGCATGGCGAGCGCCTCTCGCATGAAGACGTCCGGGTAGTGACTCGCCTCGAAGGCCTTCTCCAGCTCCTCCAGCTGCCAGCCGTTGAAGTTGGTTCGAGTGCGACGGCGCTTGCTGTCTCGAGAGCTGCCGTCGCTGCAGTCGCTGTCGGCGCTGGAGCTGCGACTTCGGTGCGACATTGAGCTGCCTGCTCGGACACTGCCTCCACCACTACCGCCACCAGGGCCGGCAGCACCACCAGCTTCACTGCCACGACCATACGCTGCAGAGAGATCATTCGGTGATGCCTGGAGTTGGCTGTGGTGGTGGTGGTTCAAGGGGTGATGGTTCAGAGGGTGAGGGTGATTGTGATTGTGATGGTGATGGTGGTCACCAGACATCAGGTGACTAGCGGCACTGCCTGAGTAACCGTCAGAGTGTGAGTTGGGCTCGTCGGAGGAGAGGGCGCCGGGTGAGGGAGGCAGTTGGTCATCGCTGCCAGCACCCGAACCAGCGCCAGCCGCGTGGAACTTGTGCTGTCCCATGCTGATGATGCTGCTGAAGAGTGATGAGCTAGCTGCGGCAGAATTGGACACTTCCGAAGCTGCTGTTTGAGCATCAGAGATGCCACCTCCGTTGGAGGCGTTTCCCTCATCAGAGGACAGTGGAGGACTAGGTGGTGGACTGCGTTGAAGGTGGCGAGAGTGCTGAATGTTGAGCATATCATTGGCTCCGTCTGGCTCCAACTTCATGGTGCTAGACTTCTGCTGACCAGAGTGACGGTTGCTGGACGACGACTTTCCGTTGGCATTCTCCTTGTTGGCTGCAGGTTCATTGTAGTGAACGAAAAAAGAGAAGAACATTGTTAGAGTTTTAAGTTAAACCGTAAGACAAACTGAGTATATCTTTCTTGGCAGACAGCTTGTTACTGTTCATTATCGACTGTTCAGCAAACACTAGTGAGTGACAGTAGCAAAGTGTCAGTAAATAATGCCGATAATTGTGTTGAAAGTTAAACACCGCTACATCGCGGCACCTTTTTACTGTTACTGTCTGAAATAACTCCAAAGGAGTCGCTGACGACAGTGCTCACAGCAAGCAGTCTCACTGTGGTTTTAACTTATTGAGGGTACAGCTAGTTCAGGGTCTGTCTGTTTGTGTTGCCTCTGAGCAGTGTGAACTGCTCGTCATCTGTCTCGAGCGGGAAAAGTGAAAGAAAGAAAGAGAAATATATGACAAAAATACGTAGGTATATATGCCAAGGAAAATGAAGAAAAAACAGTACGTGTCTATATCAGACTAGCTGAAGGAGAGTTTAATTGAAAAGTCGTGAGCAGTGCAAATTGAAAGAGGGAGTGCAAAAAAGCAAGCAAGAATGAGCATGGCAGTGAGCATCTGCACCACCAGCCAGCAGTTCAAATGGTGGCAAATTAATAAAGACGTCGAAAAGTGTGTGTGTGTGTGCTCGCGATGTGCTGAGTAGTCCTCTGCAGTGTGCCNGAGCAAGCAAGAATGAGCATGGCAGTGAGCATCTGCATCACCAGCCAGCAGTTCAAATGGTGGCAAATTAATAAAGACGTCGAAAAGTGTGTGTGTGTGTGTGCTCGCGATGTGCTGAGTAGTCCTCTGCAGTGTGCCTACCTGCTGCTGCCTGAACTTGGCCGTGAATGAACATGATAAATGGTGCTGTTGATTGTGATTGGCGAGCTAAAATCAGCACAAATCAGAGAGACTGATCGCAGAGCATCCACACACACAATTTTTGGTCGGTTTTTCGACAGGCAAATGCTTGCACCCTACTTTACACCCTCCAGTAAGGAACGATGATGATGACGATGGTGGTGTAGGCACCCTGTGAGCAGGCAGGCAGACAGCCAGGTAGGCAGTCGGCTCGACAAATTAATTAGCGACTGGCACGATTGCTGCTGCTGCTGCCGCTGGTGATCGAGTCAATTAACTGCCAAATTAGGAGTCTGGCTTTTTTGGCTTTTTTGGCTGAGTCAAGCTAACTCAATTTACCGGTGACGACAAAGTGCTGCTGGCTGTGCTCTCTGAACTGAGCAATCTGTTTGCTTTGCTGAGTTTAAATAGTAGTTCAGTGCGACGATGATGACGACGACGACTAACGAGCCATCGATCAGCGTGTTTGTGTGAAGAATGGCACTGGCCAAACACTGGCCACTGTACCAGCAGGTCACCAGGAGGCTACTTTGCCTGTTCATCTCACAAGTGTGTCTTCGGTGAGTGTGCATAGCTTTGAGCCGTTGCTAGGTGTTAGCCCAATTAGTTCAGTGATTCCAGTGTGTGTTCACTAGAGCAGTGTGAATGACAGCACCGAGAGGGCATATATCTGTCCAGTGGGCACTTGTTGCAGCAGCAAAGTGGGCACCCAGCATGGGTCAGCAGGAAAAACCAATTGACCGAAAGAGAGCGGACAAACAGACAAACAGATAGACAGACCGAAAGAGAAGGCCGACAATTGAGCCATCTTTGTCCCGAATGCTGCCACGACTGCAGGGCCACTGCTATGATTGATTTGGAAGAAAAATACACCAGAGAAGGGAAAAGAAAAACAACCGTCAAAGAAGAAGAAGCGGATCACTTCTAATCAATATTGCAGCGTAGCAGCAGANAGAAAAGAAAAACAACCGTCAAAGAAGAAGAAGAAGCGGATCACTTCTAATCAATATTGCAGCGTAGCAGCAGAGGGCAGGGGGCACACTAAAAAGAAAAAAAGAAAGAGAGCGATCGATTTCGAGTAAACTGCAACAGCAACATTCAGTCAAATCATCCTATTCGATTGATTTGACTTATTGTATTGTATTGCGGTGCACTGATTTTGGTGCCGGTGATTGTCATTTACATAGAGGCTGCCACATTGACTTCTGACGTGAACAGACAAGCTGAAAGAAAGTGCGCGCGCCTGCCCAATTCGATTGTCTTAAGAGTGAGAAGTGACAAATTGAATTGAATTGAATATATTGAAGGAACTGCCACGAGGCGGTGAAGTAGGTGATGGTAGAGGTAGTAGGTGCCAGCTAAAGGGCAATCGGACAGACTGATGGGTAGTCAATTTTCACTGCTGCCGACTGCCCATTTGCATTCCTCCACTTTTGCCCTCGTGCCTCTTACACCACCACCGTCACCACCACCACAAAAGGCCTATCAATCAATTTGTCTGCTCTGCCATAACTGCACTAACTTGGTTGCAAACGGAGTAAACTCAAACCGAAACGAGAGGTACAACTTACAGAGAAAAGAAGTCGAATGTGGTTACCGTCTCCCAACTGGCGACAAGTTTTATTTTTATTTAGTAAGAAAACGGCATTCTCGGCAATCGGAGCAAGTCCTCCGTTTGAGGAAACCATCTAGAGTCAAGTGCACCAGTAAATCGTATCATACCGTGAACAAGTATATTCAACTGTTTTTTGTGCAATTCTCAGAGGCAACTTTCAAACTGGCTAACTGACTGACTGGCTGACGGTGTTTTGCAAGCGTCATAAGCAAAACTGAGAAAAAGAAAAATCCACTTCTGAGAATAATTCCATTTGTCTTTAGTGAATGAGTGTGTATGTGTGTATGTACTGTTTGCCGACAAAGGCACCAATTTTTGTTGCTGGCAAATTGATTTAAATTGACAAGTAAGAGAAATAGAGAGAAAGAAGTCGAGCTGGCAATTTGTTCGGTCAAAAAGTGCGTTTGTGGGTATCGTAAATCATAATGAAGCTGCAGCTGTATTATTATTGAACTTTTTTGCCGCATGTTTTCACTGCATCTCAGCCGCATCGTCAGAGTGCGAGTCGTAAAACACACCACAATGACCTCTCAAGTACTTTCTTTTGGTGGCAGTTGTAGTCTCTATGGTACAATGGAAACATCGTAAAAAGTGCAAGGGTGAAGTAATTCTCCGGTGGTGGTCTGAAAACTGCACAAACAGATCAACCTTTTGAGTAATTGACCTGCACTGCTGTCCACTTGGCAAAGTCTACAAACATAGTGGTGAACACGTGCACTTTTTGAAAAGAGTTTATTCAAAAGTCATCATTTCTAGCCAATCCCATCCGCCCGGACAAATCGTAATCATCATCATCAAATTGACTGTCGTCGTCATTGTCAATTGCGAGAAAAGCTGTCTGAGAAAAAATTAGCAAATCGTACTGTGTAAACAATTCACTGAACTAACAGAGAAGAGGGAGAAACTAGAGGGGCAATTAGTCAAATAGAGACACAAGATGAGAACACTGACAAAGGGGGTGATCAGAAGCACAAATGGAGAGAGAAGTTAGTTAAAAACAAAAACACAACTATTGACTAAGGTTGCATCAGCCAAACCTATTTCTATTCCAGTTAAAACATACAAATGTCCTTCCTGAAAGCACATTCGTACTACTTTTTTGCCCATTTTATTCTGCGCCCTTTGCCTAACTTTGAAATGCAATTAATTTAATTACCAGCCGGCGCTGCAATACATCAACTCTAATGTATGTGCTTTATTGTACTACTACAACCACCAAAAAAACAACGCCATATTCATTTGCAATTTGTGCCGTGGGTAAAATTAAAATAATAATAACAGCAAAACAATAGCAGGTAGACGACGACAATGAATAGAGCAGAGCAAAGCAGACGTACTACAAATGTTAATGTTAAAATCAATTTATACAGCAATAGTGAATGCAAGAGAACCAATTTACACAGCACACTTATACAATACTGAACCAAATTATAAAAATAAAGAAGAAAGCATTTGTGGTAGGGCACACTGCAGCAGTGTGTGCACGCTAGATCGTAATTATAATTTTTAATTTAATTAAAATTCAAATTAATTAATTGAGGACGTCAAGAAATAGAGAGAAAGAGAGAGAAGCGTATGTGTTTGGTGGCAAATAAACCATTTATCAGTGGTTGCAGACAATTCTAATTTGGCCGTGTTCAGGTGTACGAGGTGGCGAACCAATTTAGGTGCCAGGCGCCAGAGAGGGCCCCAAGTGTGCAGTCCTCACTACTGACTAAAGTAGACACGCGAGTGTTGCAAACTCAGTGGGCGCCAGTGAAAACCTCAAAGACAGCCTGCTTGCCAGTCTCGGCTTGACTGGAGCAGTGGATGCCATCGCACTCTTATGCTGTAGCAACAGCAGCACCAACTAATGATGATAAATGGTGGACTCGGAAGAGGAGAGGTAGTAGGTTGTAGGTAGAATAGACTGAGGGAGACTGAGCTCACCAAGAACTGGCCAACGGCAGCACTGTAGCGAAGACTCTGTCGCCATGGCTAATTGCCATTTAGAGGGAGAGAGAGAGAGAGAGAGAGAGAGAGAGAGAGAGAGAGAG